AAAAACAAACAACAACAAAAAAAAAACAAAACAAAAACCACCACTCAAGCAGGCATTCGGGCTTCCAGAACCCCTCAGTAAAATGTACCGTTTCCATTGTCCTCCCAGAGCCGGTCTGTTGGGGCTGAGCTTTGGTGTAGCACTGGGAGGCCATAGTGTCACTGCAGTGACAGAGGGGAGGCGCAGACAGGGTCTTTCTGTTCACATTCCTCAACGTCTGTCTTTCTATCTCACTTTGCCCACAGATTGGGGACCACAAGTTCAGTGCTCACCGGATCGTCCTAGCAGCGTCCATCCCGTACTTCCACGCCATGTTTACCAATGACATGATGGAGTGCAAGCAGGACGAGATTGTCATGCAGGGGATGGACCCAAGGTGCGTACATCCTGAGGGTGTCCCGCGCCACCTTCCGGGGCAGCTTTGGCTGTGCTCGGGGCCACTTGAGGGCCTAATGGCTCTGCACAAGGAGACGGTGGTTGGGAAAGGATTAGAACCTCAGCCAGCAACCTAAGACAGGGTTAGAAGGAGAGGAGTTGACTTTTGTTTTCGCAGTGCTAGGGATTGAACTCAGGGCTTTCACACTAACTATATCCCCAGGCCTTTATAATTTTTTTACTTTGAGACAAACTCTCGCTAACTTCCCTGAGCTGGACTCAAACTTGGCAATCCTGCGTCAGTCTCCTAGAGCGTTGGGATTGCAGGTGTGCCTGGCCATGCCTGGCTATGAAGGGAGTTTTGACAGTTTTTTCACCTTACTATTAGAATAACATGTTTAGTAGCACCTAGCATCCAGGATGTCTTTTTACACTGAGGCAGAGCAGTAGCACATTATTCGCTGGGCTTCTCTGAACCAGCTGTCCTAGTGGCGAAATCATTCTAATCAGTGTCTATGTTCACATTCCTTCTTGTCTGGAATAGTGCTTTCCATTCTGCATCAGTGGAAAATTCCATTTGCACTTTGGGAACAGCAGCCCCCCGCCACAGATGGCTGCTGCGGGGCACTTGAAAGGTGACTAGTGGGACTGAAAAACTTCAGTTTTATCTCATTTAAATTTAACACTAAATATTTGCCAGGAACGGAGGCTGAGGTTCATATCCACAGTACAGGTCTAGAATGTGGCAGCATTTGTGTTTCTTTGATAGAGAGGTCAAGCCCCAGGCTGTCCCAGTAGCTCGCATTCATTTGCTATCTGACCTCCCAACCTCCTGGCAGCAAACCTAGGGGCAGGAGCCGGGAGACTGGGATCCCCTCCAGGCCCTCAAGGGGATCCGCCCCACGTGCAGAGAAGGTGTGCAGCACCACAAGGCTGAAATCTTAGGTCAGCTCCTGGAAGGAGAGGCTCAGCCGTGCGGCCTGGGGCAGTTGTGTGCCCTTTCAAGGTCTGAAAGCCGTGCTGGTCTCCACATGTGTCCAGGTGCTTCACTTAAGAGAGGTGGACTCATCATCAGGGTTGTGCAGGCTCGAGGCAAATACATGGCTGGTACAGTTGGGAGAGAATAATAAAGCAGGGTGAAGGCCTATGAGCAAAGGAGGGGTCTGTGTGCACAGGGTCTCAGGGTGCTTGGGGAGGTGGCACTTGAGGCGAGACCTTAGTTGATGTGAGGAAGTGAGCCTTCTCTTAGGAAAGCCCTCCAAACAGAGGGAGCAGCCAGTGCAAAGGCCCTGAGGTGTAAATGTGTGCAGACTAGAGCAAGGAAAGAAAAGAGTGGATATAATGAGGTCAGACAGGTGCAGAGGGCCAACTCATACAGCTCTATGGCTGGGATTCAGATTTCAGTCTCTGCATGAACTGGAAGCCATTTGTAGTCTCCTGATAGTAATTTACCCCAAAGCAATAATAATCCCAAAGTGTTAAGTGGTAAAAGATGGATGTAGCTAGATGCCTGCTGATAGGGCAGTAAATTATAACATAGTTCCATGCTGAAATATACAGCAGCCACCAAGGACAGCAAACGTGAAGCCAGCGTAGCAGCTTCATAAGTGTTGGCTTGATAAGTGTTTTATGATCACACCCATCTCATTTACACGTGCAGGTGAACAGAAACAAAAAATGAACCCCCCAGAAGGACCCCCATGACCTGTTCAGTAGTGAGTTTGTGGCTGATGGATTTCTTTTTCAGAATTTTCTGGCATAAAATTATTGGGGCAGTGAAGACAGCTTGGGAGTGGGAGGGCGGTTATGTCACGTAGACAGATCCTCAGAGGACGCGGGCCGCGTGGCTTCGGAGCCCGGCCCACCTCTCCTCAGGTAGTACTGGGGGCTGGGTGAGGACCCCACACCTCTGCAGAGCTTCTCATGAGGTCCCTTTTCTTGCAGTGCCCTGGAGGCGCTCATCAACTTCGCCTACAACGGCAACCTGGCCATTGACCAGCAGAACGTGCAGTCACTGCTGATGGGGGCGAGCTTCCTGCAGCTGCAAAGCATCAAAGATGCCTGCTGCACGTTCCTCCGAGAACGGTGAGGTGACATGCGTCGCTGCTCCGTGCGTTCTGCAGGCCCTGCCAGTTGGCCGGGTCCCTGACGTGCCTGGGTTTTATGAGGGCGGTGCTGCTCGAGGAAGCTTCCTGGGCAGAGGTGACATTTCTTGAAGTCAGTACCAGGCAGCGCCCACCTTTGGGAGTGAGCCTTTCATACAACGTGTCGCCCTGCCTGCCCTTGGCCTTGGGGTGACGAGTCCCTTTTCTGATCTCCCAGCTCCAGTCTGACCAGCCACAGATTTTGTACCAACCTGATTTAGCCTATGTTTCCTAACTGTTCCCTAGCCATCTCAGTTTCTACCCGAATTTCCTGACCCTACTTTGCATACCTGGCCTTTCTGGAAGAGGCCACCCTGGAACTCCCCGTCCCCTGCCCACTGGAGCCCTCGGGGCTCCTTGGGCCCAGGGCTACCTGTGATGCCCTTACCTGTTCCCAGGGCGTGAAGGGGGCTTTGTGGCTCTCTGTGACCTACTGAGTAAGAGATAAGAAGGCCCCTCTCCCGTCCTCCCTGTCAAGAGACAGAGCTCTTTGTCATGGCTACAGGCTGATTCACCAGCAGAGGCCTGGGGAGGAGGCCAGTGCCAGGGCACTCACGGCCCCAGAGAAACCGGATGGCACCTCGGTGTGCAGGGCTCTCCAGGCCCGGCCTCCACCTGGCCTCCTGTGGTTGCCAGGCCCTGGCCCGAGCCTTCTCTAGATCAACTGTGCCCTCATGAGCCCCAGCCTGTATTCTGGTCCCACACACTTAGCTGCTCTCTGGGGGGCCCACCTGCTGCCCCATTTCTGCCCGCAGCACTGCACAGGCATCATGAGCATTGCTGGGCGGGGAGCTGGTCCTAAGCACCGTGGAGGCAGGGCCTTGAACATGGGCGTTCATCTGCCGGGTGCAGGGCGTGTGGCTTCGTCTTGAGGGCAGGTCCCGTGTCCAGTTTTGCAGACGGAAGCCTTGTAGTGACAGTGTCACCTACACCTGCATTAGGATGCTTCTGGGGCAGGCTGGATGGGCACCTGTGAGCATGCGTGGGGCACACACTGTCCTCTCCTACTCGTCCACAGGTGTAGCCCTTGGAGCATAAGACTAATTTTTATCACCAAGGTGCATAAATATGGACGTGTCAGACCCATGCTTATTCTTTAGAATATTTCTGTTGGTGAATTATTAATGTTAGTTGTATGAGTTTTATTATATTAACGAGTACATGTCAGGAAAAAACATCACAAAAATAGTCTTGAGTTTTTAATATTTATTGCTTATAAAAAAAGAATGAAAATTTTCAGCATCGACTGGTTTTTGGTGTGCAAAGTCTAAAAAAGAACATCAGGTATAAATTCCCGTATGAACTACAATGAAAATACCAATAGCACGCTACGAAAAAATAATCTTTACTTCAGTTATCACACCTAAGGTAGTCTGCACACCTGACAACAGTACGTTCCATACACACACATCACTTACACTGACAGCACATGTCTTTTGCTTTCCTGGCCTTTTTGTAGGACATACCTGACATCTCAGTGGTCCTACTCTTCTTGTCAGGAGGTTCTTACTATATTAGGTGGTGTGTAGTTAACAAGAACATAAAATATCAAATAAATTATTAAATTTTTAATATATATTGTGCATTTAGAGCAGACATCAGCATTTTTACATTAGCTGTGTACTTCCTTACAAAACCTAAAAGATAACATCAGAAATAAACTTCTCTGTGAACTACAATGAAAATAGAACCAATAGAACTCACCCCAAAAATAAGCTTTGCTTCAACCGCCGCACCCGAGGCAGTCTTCTTCACACATGACAACTGCATGTTCCATGCACACGTCTCACTTACACTGACAGCACATGTGCTCACCTTTCCTTTTTTATGTGACAGTCTTGTCGCCTCTCTTCTCTTCCTGTTTTGTCAGGAGCTTCCTACTGTATTGTACAACATGCATTTAGCAGGGAAATAAGGTGTCAATAAAATATAGTATCATATATGTAGTGAGTGCGTAGAACAGACATGAGCATTTTCACGTCAGCTGTTTACTTGCTTACAAAACCTCAAAGAGAACGTCAAAAATAAAAAGCCACATGAACTACAATGGAAAAAAACCTGCCACAGAAATAAGCTTTGCTTCAACTGTCACACCCAAGGCGGTCTTCACATGTGACAACTACATGTTCCATACACAAGTATCGCTTACACTGATAGCACAGAAGTTTTGTTTTCCTGTAGAGCGCAGCTGTTTTATTGTTTTCCCGTTGTCCTAGTAGGTCTTTGTGATGCTGCGTCTGCCTGCTCACCTGCCAGCTCGCCGGTGTACTCAGTTTTTGGTGTAGTTCCCTGGGCAGAAACATCTTGTTTTTCCTGTGTTGTAAATGATCTCTTAGGAGCTCCAGTCCCACTCCTCTAAGAACATTTCTCTGTGATATTTTGCACTTGTTATTTTCTTTGTAAACTAGCAAACTTTATTCCAGACATGTGTAGGATTGAGTAAAACACAACCATTGGCCAGTGTTTGTGTTGAAGTGGCATCATAGCTGCTGCGTAACTCATCAACATCTCCTCCATGTTCGTTCGGTTTTGTTGTTGAAAGTTTCCATGTCAGGCTTCTTTTCTTTTCTTTTCTTTTTTAAGAGCAGAATATATTTATTGGGGGAAAGAAAAGAAAGCTTCTGTCCAAGAGAGGGACAGAAGGGGGGTCTGAGTGGGTTACCCAAGACTCTGTCTTTTCTAGGGACTTTTATAGAGCAAAACCACGAGGTGAGGTGGGTCCAAGGTAGGGGGAAAATGGACAAAACTATGGTCAGCCAATAAGAATTGTTCAGGTAAAACTGATTAACTTGGGATCAAATGGGGAAGCAAGTCACGTAACAAGCGGGCATGAATACAGAACAGGCGCTTTTCCTGTAAGGGGTTGGGTCAGGGACTCTTCAAGGTGATTGCTACCTATTTAGAATGAATATCAATCCCTGATGTCCATCCCTAGGGAGGTAAGAGGGTGTGTTTGTTTAATCTTTAGTCTTGAGATCTGGCCCAAAGCAAGTACCACCCCTCCATCTGTAAGGTATCTTGTCTTCCATTCTGGCTCCTCAGGCTTCCTTTCTGTCGCTGTTTCCCTGTCAGTGTTTCCAGCGTGCTGAAATGTTGACATCAGCAGTGCCAGTTTGCTTTTTTTTGCCGCATTTGAGGCCAATGTTATATCTTTCTAAAATCCAAAGATTGTCATGTACAATTCTCAGTTTTGAAATCGCAACATTTCATTTGGAATTTCTGCTTCGTTGCTACCTGCAGCTCCTGCGCTGGTCAGTTTGCGCTCTGTTAGCAAATGTCACATCAGTTGGAAACCGGTAAAGCAGTTGTCGAATGTCACGTTGCCGTTAGTTTGGGAGATGGGAGCGACAAGTCTGTTCACAGCCATCGTTCATTCAGTTTATATCTATACAAGTGAGGGCCTGATGGCTGAGCTCCAGGATAAATGTCTAACTTGAAAGCTTAGTAAGTCTTTGCATCTGCAAGGACATAAATTTTATACCATATTTTGATCCATTACTTTTCCGGAAGTCTTTTGATTCCTGTGATCACCATGAGAAATCTATGCTAAATACAGCAGACCTATGAATGCTTTCAGTTCAGTTAGTGAGGTGTCATGATAAATACATTTTTTAGTATGGCTGCTGGTATATACAGAATGTTCTACTTGCATTTCAGCCTTTCACAGCGTATTGTAGCGTTTCATCTGTGACGGTTTCTAACATTGAACGGCAGTGCTGCATTCTGTCCAATACATTTCACCCCTGCCAAGACCCTCACTGTATTTCTGCACCTAGTTCTCACAGTGGATCTTCCATTTCATTGTGTGGCCATTTTGCAACATTTCAACTAGTAAACTAGGTACTCACCTTGCTGGTGCTTTGGTCATCTGAATGAAGGAAGTCTGCATTCCCTGTGTCTGTATCAGTCAGTTCTTGGTGCATTTCACTGTCATAGGAACTTTGGCTCACATGGCCACTGTCAAAGTCATCATCATCACATTACGCACCCACACCACTCTTCTGTTATGAAAGCATGTATTTTACCATAATGGATCATCTTTATCATCCTTGTATGAATAACTGATGATTCACTTTTGACCTTCTCTAAAATTTGCAAATATGGTTTTTCATGTTCTATTATACTGAATTGGGCTATTTCTACCAGAAAAATCAAAAGAAAAAAATTTTTTAGAACAAATCCTGGAGAGATGTGGGTCTGTTGGACCCTCTGTGATGCTCGGCTAAACATACACAAGACCAGTTAGCTGGCTCATAAAAGCCTGTCTAAATCCCATTTACCACTTTTGCACAGGTGCACAGTCCTTGCCATTCATCGTACCAAGTGGCTAAACACACACTGGCTGCTATAATGCTAAAGTACAAATTTACAGTAGAAAAGTAAGGGATGGGACCACTGCACCTAGGCTTATGCCTGGAGAGTTCACAGACAGACTGCTTCATCCCTTCGTTCCCTTGGGACTTGGAGAAAGACTTTCTGACAAGTAGATGCTCCCACTATTAAGTTGGCCATCCTCACACCCTCATCAGAGGGCAACAGCTCCCCCTAGGGACCTTTGGCGTCACCACTGTCGCTGGATTCAGGCTCCAAAAGATGCTGGGCAGTGAGTGATTATAGACCAGTGCAGATTTTACATGCCACAGCAATATTTTATAGTTACACATGAAGGCTGGTGTCCTGAGTCTGTCCGTGGCATTTTTTTTCATTCAGCAGCACCTTCAGAGACTTAGGCACATACCTCATTCCTGAATCATCCCTGCCACAGGCCCCAGAGGCGTGGCCTGCGTCCTGTTTTCTCTCCAGTAGTTACTGTCCCCACCTCTGTTCCTTGGGTGGCTCTCCCTGGGCCTGGCTGTAGAGTGACACAGGGCCCTCCAGTTCCCCTCTTCCTCATGGCCCTGAGAAGGAGCACCTGGGCTCTGCGGTTAGAAGGTCTGGTTGTCAGCATCCTAGCCAGGGTGGAGAGAAGAGTGTGCTGCAGACAGCTGGGGCCTCAGCCTGTGGGAGCTTCAGTTCCCTGCTTTCTCCCCAAGGCTACAGCTGATTTTTGTCTTGTGTGGTCCTTTTCTCAGATACCTGGGCCTCCTTGATTTAGGTGAACATGAGAGTTCTTTTCTGAAACTTTTCTCTCAGAGCTCAGTTGATGTGTTTTGTTTTTAATGGTGCTCGGGATGGAGCCCAGGGGCTTGTGTGCCCTGGGCATACTGAGCTGCGCCCGCCCCTCCGTCAGAGCTGGGTTGTAATGTGAGTGCATCGATGAAGCAAGCCAGCACACTTGCTTCACGCCACTGCTTCCTGCCTCCAGTAAGTGTCACATCTTGTGCAGCCTCCTTGCTGAGAAAGTTGAGCTGCGTCAGCAAGGAAGAGGGTTGGGAAGTAGCTAATGGAAAATGTGGGGCTCCATTTCCCTGTTAGATTTCTTTTCCTTCCTGCTTCCCTCCCCAGCAGTGTCCCCCAATCAGGCTTCCCCCCGCCCATCCTCTTGGGTATGGTAACTCAGCTCAGTTAAGATGTGTTCGATGCTCAGTACCCTGTCAAGCCTGCTGAGGGTGAGGAACAGGCGTCCCAACCTGAGCTGAGAAGGTGGCAGGAAATGCCGGTAGCTCCCGGATCACCCTTCCCCTCATCTTTGGACTCTGTGCTCTCCCAGTGCTTGGCCCTTGAATCCTGTGCCCTGGGTAGCAGATGGCGGGACCCAGGGCAGGTTGGGCCTCATAGCTGCTTACTTTTGTAAAGTGCTCTATCAGCTCTGGTTCAGCCACCATGAGTACTTTCGGAGAAAAGTGCCTCTAAACAGATGACCCTGGGCCTGGTTCCCCACTGGCTATGCTGTGTGCCGCGCCCAGCTCTTGTTTCCTCAGCCTTTAGGAATCATTTAAGTTTCCAAAGCAGTGGGGTGGAGCTATTAGGAATGATAGGTACCTGAGGTACTGTGTGTCCTTTCGGTGACAGGTCAGCTGCTGCGGGACATGGGTGATTCTTGCTCAGTATACCTGCCCATAACCTTCAAGTCACCCTGAGAGAAGAAGAGAGAAGGGAATCATTGTAATGAGGGCAGTTCATCCTCACAGAGTAGAGTCAGAAAAGATCCATCCCCCAGAGCCCGCTGCTGTCACCAGGATGTCCGAGCCTGTACATTCATCTGGAATTGAGGGCAACAGCTGTAATAGAAATGAAACCAATAGCCAACTTTGTACCAGGCACCATGCTGAGCGTGTCTGCCTACAGTCTTTCTTCTTTTTTTCATCTTTTAATTTTAGAGACAGGTCTCCCTGGGTTGCCCAGGCCAGCCTCAAGCCCTGGGTTCAAGCGATCCTCCTGCCTCAGTCTCTCTGGCCACAGCCCAAGGAGGCGGGTCACTGTCATCATCTTTTTCCAGGTAAACAATGGCTGGTGCCTGGGAGAACTGAAGGAACCAACTCAGGTTGCCCAGGGAGGAGCAGGACCAGGATTACTCTGGCCCTGAAGAGAACTAAGAGAACCATTTCACCTTGGTGCTACAGGAAGTGTGCAAGAGGCCAGGTTCAGTCTCAGCACCGTACTTGCTTGTCCAGGGGCTGGGAGCACATTTTCTTGGTTGCCCTGTGCCTCTGTTTCCCATCTACAAAGTGAGAACAATGTGCAGGGTTGTTAAAAAGATTCTGGAGAGTAACCTGTAATCCCAGCTACTTCGGAAGCTGAGGCAGAAGGATCACAAGTTCAAGGCTGGCCTGGCTAACTTAGTAAGACTCTGTCTGAAAAATAAAAAATAGAAAGAGCCAAGGATGTGGCTTAGTAGTAGAGTGCCCCTGAGTTCAATCCCCAGTCCTGGCGAAAGAAGATTGTGGAGAATGTGTGTAAAAGTATACCACATAGTAGAGTATTTGCTGCTAAATAAGTGATAGCTGCTGCTGCTATTTCCAGATACCTGAGCAGTTAGGTTCATAGAACCTCTTCCATCCTGAGAAGAGAAAAGCCCGTGAGGGACCTTATGTTGGGGAAATCATCTCAGTCATCTCTCAGCTGGAGATGCAGCTCAGCGATAGAGCACTTGCCTTCCATATGCAAGGCCCTGGGTTAGATTCCCCCACCCCTCCAACACACCCTGCCAAAAACCAAAACAAAACCTGAGAAGTCATATCTTGCATGATTTAGACTCCTTCTGCAACCCCAGTGCTTTTCTAGTGACCGGGTGAACCATGCACTGGACACCAGTCAGGGGCTGCAGCGGCTGAGGTGGCAGGCACGTTTTCCAGCACGTTTGGTCCGCTCCTCACAGGGACATCACAGGACTTCCCAAGGCTCCTCCCACCTCACCCGTGGGGCACCAGGCCTGTGAAGCAAAACGCTTTGCAGATAAACTGGCTTAGTGTAGTATTTTTAGAGGCTGAGTCCCGCATGGGTACACTTGGTGTCATGGGGAGTTTCCAACAAAGCCAAGGACAAACATGAGCCTGTTTTGTTCTGTGGCACCACCCGAACCGTCCTGAGAATGCTCTGAGGTAACATTCATCCCTCCTTTAATTTTTTTTGTATGCCAAAGGCTCCACCCCAAAAACTGCCTGGGTGTGCGCCAGTTCGCAGAGACGATGATGTGCGCCGTGCTGTATGACGCGGCCAACAGCTTCATCCACCAGCACTTTGTGGAGGTGTCCATGTCGGAGGAGTTCCTGGCCCTGCCGGCAGGGGACGTGCTGGAGCTCGTGTCCCGGGATGAGCTGAACGTGAAGTCAGAGGAACAGGTTGGTGTGCAGACCGACCAGAGCAGTGACGGCGGTGCCGTTCTCCCCACCGTGGTTTTCCACTGAATTTTAAACAGTTAGGACCACGGCGTGCATGCAGCTGTTACGTATAGTGAAGTTTGTTTTATTATATGTGTTGTTCATGAAAACTTTTATATTTTCTAGTCTAGATATTGAATGTATCAACACCTCCTTTATTCTTATGTGTTTGGGTTACTTCTGATAACTCCTATTAGAAATAATATTGCCATAGGGGCTGGGGATTTAGCTCAGCGGCAAAAGCGCCTGCCTGGCAAGCGCAAGGTCGTGAGTTCGGTTCCCGGTACCGGAGAAAAACCAAAAAAAAAAAAAAAAAAAAAAGAAATAATATTGCCATGAACTAGAAATAGCGACAGTAGGCAAACTTGGAAGGAAGTTTTTTTTAAAGAAGAGCAGAACCTGGGGCAGTTGCAGAAGGGAGCATGAAGTCCGGAGGGCTTTTTCTTTTTAGTAAGGTGAGGGACATACAGTGTACTTGACTGCCAATGAGACCTTCCAGGAGAGATGAGGGAATTAGACCTGCAAGAGACAAGGGAGAACAGTTGCCGGGCAGTGTTCTAAAGGGAGAAGGAACAGGGTCCAGGGCACAAGGGTGCAGCGGATAGGAACTCGAGCCATCCGCACCCGCACAGCAGGAGGAGAGCTAGGTGCACACGCCCAGGTCCTGCTGGCAAGGGGCTGGAGTCTCACTGATACTCTCTTCTGAGAGGCTTTGTCTTCTCAGCAGGGAGCGAGAGCTGCAGGGATAAAAGAGTATGAGCAGCCCTCTGGGGCAGAGTAAATGGGCAGCACTTGGGACACAGAGAGGGCTGGGTGGGTAGCAGAGCAGTAGTCATAGACTCCAAAGGAGCAGGCCCAATTCTGTGGTGTGTTCTCCGCCAGCCACGTACCAGTACAAATGCAGAGCAGGGGCGAGCTGAACTTAAAGAGCTGACTTCATCAGCTTGGACCTCCTTTTCCAGGTGCATTTCAGTGAGGAAGCTAGGAGCTGGGCGTGGGAACCCAGGGCACCCTTACAACAACCCATGGAACCCCTGCTGGCGGAGAGATGAGGACAAGGGCCAGCTGTGGGGAGCTCAGAAGGAGGTGGCAGTCAGGGTCAGAGATGAAGGGGGCAATTCCCTAGCTGGACAGTTGGGGGGACAGCTCTTGGTAAAGCCAGTTATAGTCCTCGGGGTGAAACTGTTGGCTGTGTGAGCTTTGGGCAAGCCTAGGGCCCTCTAAGGACAGAGAAGACAGATCTCAGCTAATTTCCTTAACCACAGAAGAGTCCCTAACCCTGAGTATTAGTGACCAGTAGACAAGTGGACCCTGAGCCCAGCAGCAGAGAGCTTGAGTGAAGAGCCTCATCCCTCACCCCAAGATCAGGCATTCTGTCCCAGCTCTTCTGCTACTTACCGTGACCCCGGGCAGCTCACATTCACTTAAGTGACAGCTGTGAAGAGGGCGGTGGGGCTTTCGAGGGACACATCCTTAGGGCTAGCGCCATAAGAACATGGATCTCAAGCCTCTTAGAGGAAGGGAGGGGAGCAGTCCAGGTGCAAAGGCTTGGAGAGATATCTAGAGGAGGGCGGCAGTGGGAACCCAGGACAGGCCCAGTCTGGCTAGAGTTGAGGGTTTCGAGGGGCTGGGGTAGAGCAGCTGGAAGCGAGCAAAAGCAGGGCACACAGGACGCGTGCAGGAGGAAGGCACGAGCAGGAGTTGAAGCTGGGGAGCGGCTTCCGGTGGGGGAGCTGCTGCCAGACCGCCTCTTCCTCACGGCAGGTCTTCGAAGCCGCCTTGGCCTGGGTCCGATACGACCGGGAGCAGAGGGGACCCTGCTTGCCCGAGCTGCTGTCCAACATCCGCCTGCCTCTCTGCCGCCCCCAGTTCCTGTCTGACAGAGTGCAGCAGGATGACCTGGTACGCTGCTGCCACAAGTGCAGGTGAGCAGAGTGGACTCGCGTGGCACACTGCCGAAGGCCTAGGTGCTGGACGTGGCCGCTATTCCAGATAGCGGAGTGGTCAGCCTCGTTCATGGCTCGTGGACTGGGGACCCTGTCTCCAGAACAGGAGAGGAAGTGGCAAGAACCCAAGTCTTGCACTGGGGGCAGAGAGGTGCAGGGCGGGGGCCCCGAGGTTGAAGGGGCATTTCTCCCCGAAGTTGCGGATGTTCTAACATCTTCACCACGGAGCTGCTTGTGGTGGACAAGCATCTGTCCTGCCTGCCTGGCCCTGTCCACACTGGCCACTGACTCTGGTGTGAGCAGGACTTCTTGGAGCTCCTTGACCCCTCAGTAAATACTAAGTCAGGGCCCGGGAAACAGTCATGGCGACCTCACACAGGACAGCACCAAGCCCGCTCGGAGGATGGTGGCCGGCCCAGTAGGAGCACTGTGCTCAATATAAAGCAGCAGAGAAGAATGCCGTCCTCCAAACCGCGTGTCACACACACAGCAGTGAGAGTTCTTTCTCCTTTGCCAGCGTCGTTTCTGCACACGTCCAGCGCTCCCCTCCTTTCCTCACCCATGGCTGGGATCCCACCCGTGCGGGCGGTGTGGAGGAGCGTGTCAGGAGCGTGTGGCGGTGCGGCTGGCGGTGCTAAGCGTGCTGTTGGCAAGGGGTAGCTTTCCGAGGCCTTAGAGAAACAGCCTGGGCCGTGGCGCGGAGGGCGGCTGGTGCAGGGAGATCAGGGGAACAGAGGAGGTGAGAGGAGATGCCTGCAGGATGTGAGCCCCAGTGCCCTGTGCAGGGAGGCTTAGGTCCAAGGGATGACAGGCGCCCGGCCTGCCGAGCCTCCCCAGCCCAGCGCACCCAGGCCTGCTCTGTGCCGGATAGAAGACCTCTCTGGTTACACCGGCGGAGGGGCCCTGCGCATCCTGCCCTTTCACTTTCAGGCGTGTCTCAGTAGCCATAGCCGGCATCACCTGGGTTTGTTGAGACCAAACCTTCCCGAAGGCTTCTCCTGCCAGGTTTTCCGTGCCGTGGGGGGTGGTGGAGGAGCCTGGCTCGGAAGCGCAGATGTGAGTGGAGAGGAGAAGATGCCTCCCGTCCTAGCGCCCTGTACGGTTTTTCCAGGGACCTGGTGGACGAAGCGAAGGACTATCACCTCATGCCTGAGCGGCGGCCCCACCTCCCGGCCTTCAGAACTCGGCCTCGCTGCTGCACGTCCATCGCTGGGCTGATCTACGCCGTGGGGGGGCTCAACTCGGCAGGTATCTTGCAACCCCCTAAACTCAGCCCGAGACAGGGTACAGTCCGAACCCCAGTTCTGTGCCGAGGGCGTCTGCCTTCGGTGCTTCACGGTCCGTGCGCTGTTGGCGGCTCCGGTGTGCTGCAGTCAGGCTTTCAGGAACACCCCACGGGCACCCCCTCCCGGGGGCCTTGGTGGGCAGCCCTAGCAGCTCTGTGTTTAATGCGAGGTTGGTGAGAGGTGGGTGGTAGGGTAGGGTTAGACTTACCACTCCTTACTGCTGATGGCCGTTTACTGAGCGTATTCTAGAACCATGCTGGCCATTTAACCTTGCTGGCAGCTCTGCTGCAGATGTCACAAATGAAACAGGATGGGGACACAGAGCCCCACGGCCAGGGTCCCTCAATAGTAAGTGAAGGGTGGCATTGGGACACATGCTGTTCCCTCTGGGCCTGCCTCCTGCAGCAGGGCCAGGTGAGGTGCCTGATGATAGGGCAAAACTACCTTATCAGAAAAGTAAGCACCTCCTGTCTGATTCTGATTTCCCTTGAAGGAAATCACAGAGCCATGAAATTCCTTAATGGGCCTTTGTGCCCTGAGTCATTCTGAGGGAAGAGCTAATAGCATCAAGTCAAATGTTCCATGTAACCCATGCCCACTAGCTGTGATCTAAACAAATGGTCTCATTTGTTTTAATTTGAGTAGCACATTTTTATGCAGGTGATTCCCTGAATGTGGTGGAAGTGTTTGACCCCATCGCCAACCGCTGGGCAAAGTGCCATCCCATGACAACGGCCCGCAGCCGGGTGGGCGTGGCCGTGGTGAACGGGCTGCTCTACGCCATTGGGGGCTACGACGGCCAGCGGCGGCTGAGCACGGTGGAGGCCTACAACCCAGAGACAGACACGTGGGCCCGAGTGGGCAGCATGAACAGCAAGAGAAGGTATCCTGGAAGCCACGTGCAGGCTGGGTGCACACACACAGCACCAGGGAGAGCGTGCTTACCAAGCAGGGAACATAGCAAAGTCAGACACGAGCCTTGGTCTGGGAGGGTCCCACGGCCAGACCAACCACTGCCAGTGTCAGCCTGAACGTAAAAGGCTGCCTTGCCCTTTGAGCAGCGTGGGGAGTCGAGACATGGGCATGTGGGAGCTGTCCCGTGATGTGTGCAGCAGATGTGCCTCACAGATTTGAGAGGGAGAGAACCGGGGCTGGAACATCTGGAAGATTTCAGGAAGGAGGGGGGATGAAAGGAGAGACCTGAAGACGAAGGAGGATTTCACCTCTCTACTGGTAAAAGGAAATGCAAAGTGGCCTTCACATCCAGCCTCGACTTAGTGAAACTGTCTCCAAATAAAAAATAGAAAGGCCCGGGGATGTAGCTCAGGGTGAAGGCCCTGGGTTCAGTCCCCAGAGCAATTTGAAAACGGCTGGACCAGTTGCTCTTCAGCGGCCTTTGCGCTCTGAGGTCCTGTGGTCTCAGTGTCTGGCCCACAATCCCCAGGGTCTCTGCTTGTGAGATCACATAACTGGCAAGGACAAGGGGGTCTAATGACAGCGAGTGTGGTGTGGAAGCAGAGCTAGCAGGGAAGTCCTTTCTACAACAAGTGTAAACGACCCTGACACACACACTGTACATGCAGTAGTGTGAGCGTGTGGCCATGAGCCAGGAGGGCTCTGCCCGCATAGCAAGTCTAGATCCACAGAGGGTCCGTGTACATTCATTTGGAGACAGAACCACCTGTGCCGAAGCTCTGCTCCTCCCCAGGATGCTCCCCGGGTGTGCCTCCCTCCTCCCTACCTGTCTCCTCCCATCTTCAAGGCCACAGCCTGGCAGCTGTCTGGCCCCAGAGCTCCCGTCCACACGCTCGGTGCTTCCTCTTCCCTCTGCCCTTTTACGAGTCTCCTACAGGACTTACCAGTCTCCTACAGTACTGTGCACTTCTTAATTCGTTCTCACAGCACTGCTGAGCACCTGGATTGTGACTGCATGCTTACGTTTGTTTTGAGCCTGGGTCTAGGCAGGCATTGTAGCTCTGAGCTCGATCGCAGCCCCGCCTTGGCCTTTTGTAGCAGAGTATCAGCTGACCAGTGCATCTGTCACATTCCCACAGTCCTGGCCTAAGACAGGTGCCTCCTCGCTCTCTGGCTGGCTAGAGGGTATCAGAAAGTTACGCTGTGTGGATTCGTTTGATTTGCTATGTGCACTTGAGGGGGTGGAGCCACCCTGGTGTGTTTTATTTTCCTGTTTGTGAGACAGCCAGATGGAGTTTTAGTCTTCTCCAGCGTCAGATTTGCCAACAGTGAATTGAGCAGCTTGGCATCAGTGTGTGATTTCCGCTAAGGCTTTGTTGAGAATAGAGCATCGTATGATTGCCCCAGGCTCCCAGGTCTTTGATCTTAGAGAGCTTGGCACAGGAAGGGCAGGGGAGTCGGGCTGCTGCCACCTGCACCTGAGACGTGCCTCCCGCAGGCAGCGTGAGATGAGCGCACAGCCCCCAGTCCCCAAGCCAGTGACTGGTTTACACTGTGATGGTGGCAGCTGTCCCTTCCTCACAGGGTGGGTGAGAATAGTGAACACAGAACACCTCACACATTTAGCAAGTGCAGCTTCACCCACTAATACGGGCTGGGGGCCATGCAGGCAGTGAAAACACCTCTGCTAACCTTCATAGCCACCCGACAGGGAAAAGCCAGGGCCAGTGGCAGAGAGAGCAGGAGGGCACTGCCGATGTTGCTGTTGAGGTCACACAGGCAGAGTGGAGGTCTTCCAGAAGACCCCCGCTTGCTAGGGCGTGGCGGCTCCCCAGCCCCCCACAGGACCCGAACATGGGTGCCATGCCTGGGTAGCGTAGGCTGTGTGAGCGGCAGCTGAAAATCCAGCGAGTGGATACTGTTACACAGCAGCCACTCTGGGAGCGTGGGGTGGAGAGAGTGAGTCCTGCTGAGAGGTTTCGGGAGCCGGAGGGGCGAGAGGAATGCGACATAGGCGTCAAAGGTAAACTAGACCCTTGGAGCGGGGCGGTGGGGAGGGAGCTAGCCAGCACTGAGCAGCTTCTGTCACCTCCACGGTACACTTTACCTAGTCACATTCCTGTGAGTTCAGTCTGTTCGGGAAGGAGCCGGCCCACCAGCTGGTTCCTCGCAGAGCGCTGCCCCGGAAGTCGGAGGCCCATCTGGGGTGACCGCTCTGTCTGTTTCAGTGCCATGGGGACCGTCGTGCTAGACGGACAGATCTACGTCTGTGGGGGCTACGACGGCAGCTCCTCCCTCAACTCCGTGGAGACCTACTCGCCTGAGACAGACAAGTAAGGACAGCTTTCAGGCTAAGCTCATCCCAAGCACAGCCCGCTCAGAGCTGCAGGTTCTTACTCGGGTAAAGAATATCTTGCTTTCGTGAGTCATGCAGTACTTTGCACATATGTAATAGTAGGTATTTATTAACCCTGGGTTAAATGAATGAATGATTAAATACGTTTTAAAAACAAATGTCGGAGGGGCTAGGGATTTAGCTCAGAGGCACAGCACCTGCCTGGCAACTGCAAGGTCATGAGTTCAATTCCCGGTACTGGAAAAAAAAACAAAATGTCAGTGCCAGGTGTGGTGGCACATACCTGAAATCCCAGCACTTGGGAAGCTGAGGCAGGACAATCACTCTGAGTTCAAGGCCAGCCTGGGCTACACTGTCCCAAAAAACAAACCAAAACAGCAACAAAAAATGTTTACATAGGAACTTGGGAAAGATTTTTTAATGGTCTATACCTCTTATATGAATCAGCCCATTTTGATTGAAATGCAGGCCAAAGGGGACAAGAAGTAGATGAACAGCATATTCCCAAACCAGCAGGGCATGATCTGGAAAAAAGAGAAACATGGGAAGTGTTGTCTGCCCCACCAGCATCGTGGTCTTCTCTTCACATGCAATAACCTTCCGAGGGCTCGGGGCAGCTGTGCTGTGGAGAGCCGTGCATAACCTTGTGTTTTAAATAACACCCAGCACCCTGATGTGGGATGATTTTTGTAGAGCAGTCATTGTGGAAAACCCTGATAAGTTTAGCCTGAATTTTCATTTTACCATTTGATCCTCATCTTATGTAACAAAATATAAGAAATGAGTTGAGTGGGCTCCTCACAATGCTTTTAAGCCAATACTGGGTCACTTAGTCCTCATAGGACGTGGTGGGCAGCAAGCTCGGTGTCAGGGGCTGTCTGGGTAACACCCAGTGTGTCAGGGCCAGTGGTGCTGGGTGGTCACCCTACCCTGGTAGCCCAGGCCCTGAGTTCTCGGCCCAGGGTGGGGAGTCATCGTCCTCTTCCCTGGCTTGGACGCAAGGGTAGAGGGGCAGGTCCGTTTTCCGAGGTGAGACCCATTTTGGGGACAGCCAGGAGAGGGGCTTGGAATGGGGGGCAGAGCTCGGGTCTGTGGGCTGGAGCACAGTGTGGAAGGAAGCAGCAGCAGGGTACTGCGTGGTTCAGGGAAGCCCGAGAGGACCAGAGAGCAAGACGTGCACTGCGAGGACCGGGTCCCTGGCCGCATGGGCCAGGGCGACGGTGGTCAGACAGGCAGTCCGGCTGTAAGCAGGTGGTGCGTGGTCCATGTGAGGTCAGGACCAGCATTTGTAGTGGGGACAAGATGAAGTCGTGACTGGGGCAAACCATCCGGGACTTGGGGACCATAAGAAGGTTGAGAATGAGGGAGAAGCAGCCAGGTGACAAGACCAGGAAGTACAGGCGAGAGCCGGCATGTAGGAGAGTGGCCAAGTTTGAGAAGGGGCAGCTCTGAGTGCCCACGGAGTGGGCAGAGAAGACGGCCGAGGCAGGAGAGGCATTGAGGTGGTCCAGGGCACGAGGGCCGCAGCACAGCTCACCAAGCCCTGCCTGCTGTGTTGAGGACAGGGACGCTGACTCTCACACCCGCTCCTGTATTGACTTCCCCGAAGGTGGACGGTGGTGACCCCGATGAGTGCAAACCGCAGCGCCGCTGGCGTCACGATCTTCGAGGGCAGGATCTATGTGTCGGGTGGCCACGACGGCCTGCAGATCTTCAGCAGCGTGAGTGTGGGCAAAGGGCGGCACCTCCTTCCGGGAGGTGGTGGGCTGTGTGCTGTGTCCTCTGCAGTTCCTAGCTTCTGGAAGAGGCAGGGTCGTTGCTCTTGCCCACCCCACTCCACAGTCCTGAAACCTCTGCCCACTCTAAGCTCGACGGTCAATTTGCACACCCTTGTGTTCTTCTGGACACTGTTATTTGAAATCGCATTTTGTTTGTCGAATAGGCAATTTATTTGTTTGCTGGGTTTTTTTTTTTTTTTTAATCTCAAGACAGAGTCTCATTATGTAGTTCAGGCTGGCCTTCAACTCACTATGGAACCTAGGCTGGCCTTGAACTCACAGTGATCCTCCTGCCTCAGCCTCTGAGTGCTGGGATTATAGGCGTACGCCACCACACCTGGCTGAAATTGCATTTTTAGATTTGCTTTGCATTTTATTCGTTTAGGGGCCATGTAGTAGCGGTTCAATAGTCACTTGGTGCTGTGGAGCAAGCACTCTGGACAGTCCCAGGAGACCATGCTCCAGCCCAGCTCTGCCATTCTCTAGCAGTTCCTGCTTGGCAAACCCCTCATCTGTTTCCTTGGGCGCACACAGAAGGGGTCACCCTGGGTGACCTCACTGCCCTAGTGCATCAGAGCTGAGCACACAGTGGCAGAGCTCCTCACCCCAGGCCTCCCCCAGTCTGCCATCTATGAGCCCCGTGCCGTGCCCCACAGGGTCACCCCGGGGCCGGGCTGTGACTCTGACTCTGACGTCCATACCCATGCCTCTCCCTGCTGCAGGTGGAGCACTACAACCACCACACGGCCACCTGGCACCCGGCCTCTGGCCTGCTGAATAAGCGCTGCCGGCACGGTGCTGCCTCCCTGGGCAGCAAGATGTTCGTGTGCGGGGGCTACGACGGCTCCGGCTTCCTGAGCATCGCCGAGGTGTACAGCTCTGTGGCAGACCAGTGGTGCCTCATCGTCCCCATGCACACACGCCGTAGCCGGGTCTCCCTCGTGGCCAGCTGTGGGCGCCTCTATGCAGTGGGTGGCTATGACGGACAGTCGAACCTGAGCTCCGTGGAAATGTATGACCCTGAGACGGACCGCTGGACGTTCATGGCCCCCATGGCGTGCCACGAGGGAGGGGTCGGCGTGGGCTGCATCCCTCTCCTCACCATCTAAGGCCAAGGGTGGGATGCAGTGGGGTCGGGATCTGGTACAAACCTAGGCACTTCTGTCCGGGGACAAGCCCACCCAGGAGAGGTGGGGGACCAGAAGACGGGGTGAAACGCAAGCTCGCCAGAGGGACGGCTTCTCCAGATGCTTACGTCCTCCTCCCTGTGCTGCCCTGATGACCAGAGGCACAGCCTGGGACAGAAGCCCCTCGGAGCCCACAGCCAGGGACAGGAAACTGCTTCAGTGGTTCACACAGCGCCGTGTAGGCTCCAGCCCAGCCCGGCTCCCGCCCACCGCACACCAGGAGCCACCCATCTGCAGCCATGCTGCTGTGGGGAGGTCGCAGGGCCCAGCGTGTGGGACGTTGTGGCGTGCAGCTGGAGAGAAAGGGTGTGCGCCAACTGTTCTTCTGCCTGTGCCGGTGCGGCCACCGCAGCACACTCCCATCGTGGGGCACAGGAGGGTCCCGGCCTCGCCTCTGGGGAAGCAGGGAGGACCCTGGTCTTCTTGTCTAATTTGGGGATTTCAGAAAAGTCTTTCCATCTTGTCCAGGAGAAACAGAAGGGAAAAAAGATACTTGAAAGAAACTGAAGGAATGAAACATTTAAACTGGGAAGAGAAATATTTTTTAAGTGAATATTTTTTTCCAGGCAGAAAACATAAAGGACACTAAAGGCAAATACACATTTCAGTGGAAAAGCCATGAGACACAGAATGGCGGTATCTGCTCCCACATCTGGATCCCAGGGTCCTGAGGCCTTGAGAAGCAGTTGGGGTTCCCTCTGAGCCCCTGAGCCTGGTCCTGCAGCAAGGTGCTCTTGGTTTGTCTCCACACCCGCCATCAGAGGACTTTCTTAGCGCAGGCCAGGCGAGGCAGCTGCATTACTGCCACTCTCTCAGGCAGGCATTCCAGGTGCCCCGGGAACCTCCCTTTGCCACCACAGCACACATGCAGGCCCCTACTCCCTCTTCCGTTCCTTCCTTTTGGGACCAGCAGGAAACAGCGTGTCCAGCCAGACTCGCTCTGCCCATCTGTCCTTCCTGCACCCTGTCCTCATTGTGATGCTCCTAGGCACAGTGCCCGTTTGTACCTCTAGAACCCAACCAGGGTCCCCCCTCCCACAGCCTGGGTGAGGCTGCCCTTGCCCGCCCCGCCATCCACCGCCCCTCCGTCCACTCGCCAATTCCAGGGGTCTGACACCCCCGCAGCCCTTGGCCGCCCAACCAGCAAGGTGGACCTTTACTTCCAAGCAAATCTGCCTTTAGGGTCTGAAGAACTTAAGGCTGAAAGAATCTTTTGCTGCTGCAAAGAACAGATTTTATATTTCTTCCTCTATTCTTGGCACATGACCTCATGAAGAGACTGCACACTCCTCCCTGCTCCCCGATGGGACCTGCACGTCACACCGCGGGACCCGGAATGGGGACGCTTCGTTACCATTGCACTGGGCAGTAGAGCTGTCCTTCAACTGCTGCCAAAACCTGCTTTTATAAATTCTTCCAGTAGAGACTCGGGAAGGACACAGTTCCTTTTTGCCCAAGACCGGGCCTTCGGGTTCCCCTCGCTGCCTGCCTGGCGCAGCGGGGAGCCTGTTCAGAAGGGCACAGGGCGGCACTGCCTCCCCATGCCCAGGACCACCAGGTTCACCAGTGTGCATGAGTGATCGCTGTGGAGCCCGAGGGAAGGTCCTTGTTACTTGCAGCTTAGGAGCTGGGCCTCTTACAAGCACTTGAAAATGATGCTTTTATTTTAAGCCTCAGCAAGCGCAGAGCTGAGAGTTTGCCGACTCCCGCTCAGTTTGTCTCCAGGGTCAGCCTTGGAGGAGGAAGACCTGTTTCCTGCTGAGAGAAGCCAGCAGCGCTCACCCTGTCGCTGGGAGTCCTTCCCTTGTGACTCTGGGGCAGCACCGAGCAAGCGGGCCTTGCGGGTCTCGGGTGCTGGCCCTCTCTCACCGCGGGGGCGGTGGGGCGCTTTCCCGTGTCCTGCTGTTCCTGTGGTAGCCTCCCTGGGCCTGCCTCCCGCGGGAGAGGCTTCCGAGCCTGAGGCCAGCGTTTCCGAGGATGAAGCCAGAGCTTTGATCTGGGCTCTGAGAACAGTTTCCTGAACCCTGTGTTCAAAAACATCCCGGCCAGTTCCTGGACGGCTCTGTGCAGCGGCTGCGGAGCGCCTCAGTACTGGGGACCACAGGCAGGAGGTGACGCATGGTCCGAGGGCATTGTGCCCCAGGGTCTCAGGCGCAGCCCAGCTTGAGCAGAGAACGCCGCTGGGCGCCGCTGTTCCCTGTCCTTGTCACCTTGCCTCCATGGATGACACATAGCTCTCTTCTGGGGTCCCCTGAGACCACAGCCAGAGGGAGCTGGAGACCAGTCTCTTGACCCTGAGATGTGACTAGGTAGGAACCCCCCATTTATTGTTTCACAGAAAATCCTTTATTTATAGAACGCATGTCATTTGTTTTAAACCAAAGAGAAGGAAATAAAGAGAACACTGCTAATAGTTTTTGCCTCTTTCTGATTTTTTTTTTTTTTTTTACGACAGGCTCTCAACGTGTAAAGCAGGCTGGCCTTGAACTCACTTATGTAGTCCAGGCTGGCCTCAGACTCACAGTGATCCTCCTGTCTCAGCCTCCCAAGGGCCGAGATTAAAGGTATGCACCACCATTCCCAGTCCTCTGATTTGTCTTTTAAAAATTAGAAGCAAGTCACTTTTGCTTTAACTCAGTGTGAAAGTATATTGGACAAGCTGGGCATGGTGGTGCATGCCTGTAATCCCAGCACACTAGGAGGCTGAGGCTGATCCCATATTTGAGCCCCCCTGGGCAGTTCAGCAACTTAGTGAGACACTGTGTCAAAATTTTAAAAGGGCTGGAGATGTGGCTCCGTGATAAGGCCCTAGATTCAATCCCCAGTACCACCCATGGGATAGATTCATATATACAAATACACATGACAAGGAGGAATATTCCTGCGAAAATAGGGGAAAGCCAGATGTCAACATCAAAAGCCCAGGAGCTGTGAGCTGGGGCCCAGGGGTCCTGAATCTGACACCAGACCCTTGAATAGGCGAACCTTGGGTCCTGCTTTTGTCATTTGACACAGACTTTGCTGGATGTTTCAGGAGCTGAGATTCTTGTTCTGTCATTCTAAATCCCCCACGTAGTACATACAGTACGTGCCATGCTCCACCTTGCTAAAGCAAACGGCGCTCCCTTTCACTGTTTTGGGGTTTTTTTGGTACCAGGAATCCAACTCACGATCTCACACTTGCCAGGCAGGCACTGTGCCACCGAGCTAAATCCCCGGCCCTCCCTTTCACTCTTGCACTGGATTTCCTGCTTGTTCTCCTGCTGCCTGTGTCGAAGCCCCTCACAGTGACCCTGGTCAGCACAGCACGTTGTCTTCATTTCCCACTGTACCCACACAAACCATCTACCTGTGCTTATTTGCATATCACCCAGACCTGAAAGGTTTTGTCTGTTTCCCTTACACCTGCCAAAGCTGTTTTTTTCTTTTTCAGCACTGGAGAGTGAGCCTAGGGCCTTTGTTCTGAGCCGCATTCCCAGCCCTTTTTTATTTTGAGACAGTCTCACTAAGTCCCTGAGTTGCCCAGGCAATCCTCCCGCCTCAGCCTCCTGAGGGCACCACCGTGCCTGGCTGGAATTTCATTGCTTTTAAAGCCTTGCTACTCAAAGTGTGGACCATGGATCAGCAGTCCCAGTAGCTCCAGTAGCAGGGCTAGGTGGCTGATCCTGCAGGCTGCTGTGTCAGACCCCATGTGACATGGTACTGACCAACACAGTTGGCTACTGAGCTTCCTGAGAAAGGTCCCTCAGCCAGCCCAAGCTGTCCAGCCGGGAAGGCTGATCCTGGTGGCCCCAGAAGATCTGGGTGAGTGTGGAGCACCCTCTTTGAGTAGCGGGGTCAGGCGAGGAGTGGTAGGGTGTGGTGTGGATGAGATGCACATCCTGTAGAAGGCAGGAAGTGGCCTCTTGAGCCGGACCATCACTTCCTGCCCTGGGGAAGAAGGTCTGAGGTCTCTACTCACCCTACTTAGCCCAGGGAACAACTCCTTTCCTTCCTCTCCCCCAGCACTGGGTACCCCCCAGGGCTTGAGAGGGAGCTGAGCTGGAATTGGAACCAACTTCCTTGACACTTGGTTTTGTCCCCAAAAGCCGTAAATGGTGCATGCAGCTTGCAGAGCTAAGGGGCCGTGCAGGAAGTGATACTTGGATAAGGACGCTGTCCTCAGGGATGGACAGAGAGCCTTCCTCCCCACGCCCATACTGAAAAGCCCTCTTCCAGGGGCTCTGCACCGTGGCCCTGGGGTGTGGGAGTTTCAAGCTCAGCTGTTTCCCCAGCTGAGACCTTCTGGACCGAGCGTGCCAGCTTTGGTCTTGGTCTGGGGACACATCAGAGACCTGAACCAGATCTTTGCTGGGGACCCGACGTGTGAAGAGGGCAGGTGCGGAGGACAGTGCTCGGGTTTTAGGGTAGATGAAGTTGCTGTGGCTGATGCCGGTGGGCTGCAGGAAGGGACTAGGTGTGGGATACATTTTGGGTGTCCACAGGGACATGTCCTGGAGGCAGAGTCCCAAGGCGGGGTTCCCCGTGATAAAGGTGGGGGCAGAAAGGAACTAAAGACAGTTGAGGCTGAGACAGGCCACACCCCCACGTTGGGCTCCCCTGCCTGTCCTCAGTTCCCTCCCATGCTCCTGGCCTGACCTTGGGCCCTGCCTCATTGGTCTCCTCGCCCAGCCTTCAGCCACTCCACCCTCCAATGCTCAAGCCACACTCAGACGTTTACTGCGGGGATGTTTTATTCAGCCCTCCCTGTGATTCTCGAGGTTTCCAGACAGTCAAGGGGCACATGTCTGCCACAGTGACTGGGCAGAGGTGCTCAGGGTCTTGCACAAGGGAACTGCCCTCATAGGGTGCAGCTGCAGCTGGTGGAACCACTGTGGGTGGACGCTGACTAGGGACACAGCAGTGACACCACGCGGTGTGAGGACTGAATGGACCAGGAAGGACGCTTCTGCTCTGGGAAAGCAGGGGGGCTTCCTGGAGGAGGTGACTTCCCCGCCATGCCTTGCGGGAGAAACAGGATTTACAGACACCAGAAGGGCAGGCAGATCAGGTGGAGGGAAGCAGGTGAGCAAAGGGGGGCTGAAGTTTAGGGGTCACCGTAGAGGGGGTCCCTGGGCAGTGCAGGACAGGAGGTGCTACGGCCCAGGCCAGACGCAGGCTCCTCTCCCTTCTGGCCCTAGAAGTTTCTCAGGATGTTGGAGATGATGTCGTACTTGGCGTTCTCATACAGGTTCCTGACAACAGGCGACAGCGTGGCCTTGGCCTCAGGGGGTTCTGCCTCAGGTGTCTAGGGGGCCTCAGGGCCCTCAGCTACTTCCTGGGCCTCAGCTACTTCCTGGGCCTCAGCTACTTCTTGGGCCTCAGCTACTTCTTGGGCCTCAGCTACTTCTTGGGCCTCAGCTACTTCTTGAGCCTCAGAGGGGTCGGGGGCCTCAGCGACCTCCGCAACATCAGCAACCTCGGCTGGCTCTGGCTCTTCAACGTGTGTCAGCCTGGGGGCCTGTAGGGCCAGGATGGGTGGTCAGGTCCCATCCTCACTCCAGGGCCGCCTTCCAGGGCCACCGACCCCCCTGTCCCCTCCTCCATTTTCCACAGGATGCCCTGGGGGGGGGGCCGGGCTCACCTGCCTGCCACGCCCACAGTCCCGGTCACAGCTGACAGTCAGGCTCCGCAGCAGCCGCACCTTGGCAAATTGGCCGGTGCAGATGCGCTCCTCCTGCGGGGACAAGGACAGGAGCTGGGCACGGCCACCTAGGGCCCCAGCCCGGCCTCTGACCCAAGGTGTGAGCCAGAGCCCAGCGCAGAATAAAACAAAAAACATTTCTGATTTGGGGGAGGGGGATCCTGGAGCTTACACCCAGGGCACTGGGCTACACTCCCTGCCCTTTTTATTGGTTATTATTTAAGTTTATTGTTTTGCTTTGTTTTCAGGGCTGGGGATGGAACCCAGGGCCTTGGACTTGCTAGACAAGTGCTAAACTACTGAGCTCACCTCCAGCTTTTCATTTTTTTAAAAGTCTGAGTCTGGCTACATTACTGAAGCTGGGCTTGAACTTTTGATCCTCCTGCCTCAGCCTCCTAAATAGCTGGGATTATGGGCATGGGCCACTGTGCCTCACTGATTTTTAAAAAACAGTTATCTCTAGGTAGATTATGGTCACACTTTAGTTTTTGGTTTTTTTACTTAAGAAAGGCAGCTACAAGTATTGGGTTGACCTGAGCTGTCAGTCTGTCCAGATACATAGAGATGGAGATAGATATTTTTAAAGTGTGTTGCTTTTATAATAAAGATGATAATTTATGGAAAGAAAAAGCAATAAGGAAAATCTGATTTTGCAAGAGGCGTTTGCATTCAAACCTCTGGGGAGGTGGCCCAGTGACGGTGGAGGCTGGAAGGGGATCTCAGTGGCCTCGTGGGGAGCTGGGGATAACTCACCCCGCCCTCCCGGAAGGCGCAGTTTTCCGGCTGCTGCAGTCTCTCCGGGGTGGAGATGCACACCGTCTCTCTAATCCTGAAGTTCAGCGGGACCCTGCTGGTGGAGTTCTAGAGAAGCAACAGAAAGTCCGTGACCACCTCCCTCTCCCGGACACACCAGGAGCTGCGGGGCCCACCTGCGCTTCCCACCAGGGCCAGGAGCTCCTCGGGCTGCCTGAGTGGACGGGAGGTGCTTGGTCTTTAGCAAGAAGCCAGTCTCTGCAGGCTCGGCCTTTCCACCTTTGCCCCTCCACAGCTTCATTGTGAGCGGGGGAATCCCTGCCAAGTGCTGCTGCCCAGAGAGGGAATGGGGGACGGGGGCAGGGAAAGGCATAGTGGGACCTGGCCAGTTCCTTCCTGTCCCTCAAGCCTGGGGCCTGACAAATGTTGGATCCCCATATTTGGATGAAGCCCCCTATTTTCCAGCCAGGCAGCTGCAGGCCGAGATTACAATCTTGTTTTGTCTTCAGGTGAAAGAGCTTTATTTTTTGTTTTATTTTGAGACAGGGTCTCACTGTGTAGTTCAGGCTGGCCTTGAACTCACTATGAAGCCCAGTCTGGCCTCAAACCTTTGATGCTCCTCCTGCCTCAGCCTCCCAGGTACTGAGATGACAGGTGTGCACCACCACACCTGACTGAGAAACACTATTGTGACAGCCTCACTGTGAACTGTTATAACGGTGGCTAATGTTATCAAGCACTTTGCACCTGTGCCGGGCTCTCTCCTGCTGGTCACCCTCACAGGTGCAAAGCTGGCAGCACCTGCTTCCCCGCTGCCCGCCTCTGAGCCAGAGCCCCAGACACTCACCAGCCTAGGAGGCGGGATAGCTTCCAGCAGCCGGAAGAGGGGCCTCCCCTGCTGCCCATCATTGTAGACCTTCAAGGCCTTGGTGACAATGTCCTCATATCTGAGCCGGGGTCGGCGTACACAGGACACCCCTGCCAAGCCCAGCACCAGGACGAGTACCCGCCAGGCCCCTGCCATTGTGCCCGCTCTGACCCGCTGCACTCTTGGCCCCTTTTAGAGTCTTAGCTCACCTTGCCCAAGGGCTGCTGGCGACATATCTGGCTCCTTCCTGCGGTGGGCTGCTGCTTTCCTCAGCCAGAGAGCAAGGTCGGCCAATGTTGCAACTCACCATTGGCCAAGAAGTTTGGGCAACAGACCTGGGCCCTGAGCTGGGGCCAGGACATTCGTGTATCCCTTCACGCCAGACCCCCGTGTCACCACCTGTGCCACAAGGAGGGCTCCCCCACTCTCCCAGGAGTCCGTGTGTCTCACTGGCTGTTCGGCCCTGAATCTGCAGACTTAGAGCATGGTAGTTGCACAGTCAAGTCAAGAGAGGATCCAATCCCAGGATGCGCTCAGACATTAGAAGAAAAGAACAACAATTGGAAGCCAGGTGTGGTGGTGCATACCTGCAATCCCAGGTCTCAGGACGCTGAGGCAGGAGTCCAGCTGGACCACATAGCAAGACCCTGTCTCAAAACAGAAAACAAAAAAATTGAGTGCCAAATTTGAAAAATCTGGATGCCCAACTTGGAAAAATCAAGATCTGACCATCCTGGCCCACCAGTCGCTCTCGGCTGTGCTGCTGGCTGCCCCTTGATGCCAGTCTCCTCTGGTGACTCCCTGAAGGAAGGCACAGGGGACCCCAGGAAGCAGTACAGAAGGGAAATACAGGGGTCTCCTTTCTGTTGAAGACTGCCATTTGCCGGGGCTCCCTCGCTAGTGAGAATCAGCCCTTCACTTCCTAACTGTATCAGTCAGGGTTTTACTGGAGAAACAGATATAACACAGATATACAAATTATAAGGAGTTACAAGATTGGCTTACAACGATCAGCCAGAGAGTTGTATGGGGAAGTGTGCAGAGGCTGTCTGCACACTGAAGACCGAAGGAATCAGTCCAGGGTCTGGAGTTCACTGCAGAGTTCCGTGCAAGTCCGTACCAGGAGGCCAATGAGTCTGTGACAGAAGGCTGAAGGATCCAAGGTGGAAGCCAAAGAGTCTGCACTAGAAGCCAGGAGACAAGTCCAAGCTGAAGGTGAAGACTGGAGCTCCTCCAAAAGGAATGGAAGTTCCTCTGTCCTTCTTCATTTCCCTTTTATATTATCTAGGTGATGATCCACCAAGGGTGGCTCCTCTACACCCTAGGGTATAGAATTGCTGGGCCAATTGCTGAGCCAAGTTTAGTTATGCTTCTAAACTTCTCAAGTTGACATACTCAATCAACCACTACACTAACCAACCTTGGGCTGAGGGGCTCTTGCTTTCCTAAAGGAGATTCAGAGACTGAGGAAGACAGCAACTGTAAGGAGTGCCCACTGAAGCCTGCCAGTGGAGAAACTGAGGCACAGAGCACCTCATGATACTTTCTCCCAAAAGCTAAGGGTGGAGGTGAGAGAGTCAGAGCTGGAAGTTAGGAGTGGGGGCCAAGTCCAGCACAGTCTTCCATAGAAGAATGGATCCTTGAGGGCCCACATCTCCCCTTCAAATCCACAGAAGCCTGATGCAAAATGGTGACGGATTAGAAACAACCTAAATATACAACAGAGGTGCCAGTGTGGTGGCACATGCCTGTGATCCCAGCACTCAGGAGGCTGAGGCAGGAGGGTCACTGTGAGTTTGAGGCCAGCCTATGATACACTGTAAGTTTAAGGCCAGCTTGTAATACATGGGGGACCCTTTCTCAAATAAACAACAGAAAGCAAGTGTTAGAGCGGGTGTGGCATGTGCACTCATAGGATACGGGCCCTACGTATTAGAGCACAGAACCATTGCTTGATGGGTGATTATGTTCCTCCTAGGTGGCGAAGCAAGAGTTCCAGGCAGCAGGTCTGATGGGAGCCTGGCTGGGGGATTGCGTGGCCAAATGCAGTCTGTGCTGGTCCTATGAGCCAGACTTCTCACCCTGGGGCCAGAGGGGTGCTTAAGACAGCACAACCTATGCCTGTGCCTGCGTCTGTGTCTGGGGTCCATCCTGGGATGTGAGTCGAGGAAGATGGGGTGCATGCCATGGGATTCTATGAGCAGTTAAGCAATGGTTCTTGATGGGTCAGTCTTGCCCCCCATGCCCAGGACAATTGTCAGTATCTGGAGATATTTTAATTGTTTGATCATCATAACATAGAAGGTACCTCTGGCTTCAAGTGGGCAGAGGCCAGGCATGTTACTAAATATCCTACCCAAGCACAGGACAGCGCCTCAGAGCAAAGAACCCTCCAAGCGCCAAATGCAGTAGTACCACGAGTGGGAAATCCTGTGATAGAGAAAGAGACCAGATGGGCATAGAGGACTGGGTGGATCCATCCTCTAAGCTCATTTGTGTGGGCTTCTCTGTGACTTCCAGTACAAAGTCACAATGAAAATAGGATGCAGGCATCCCCTGGCAAAGAAGAAGGACCGGACCCTGCAACCTTCATATCAAACTAAGTCTGTTGCATGTCCAGAGGTCTGAGGGCAGAAGGCAGCAGAGTCAGTCCTGAGAGTTCTGGGAAGCAGAAGTGTTTCACTGACATTTATTTATTTATTTATTGCAGGTGGACTTCAGAGTATGAGTTGAAATGATCAAACTCGGATAGCTCCATGAACATATCTCAGTACCTTGTCCCTTATCCTGGACCCAGGGCTGGAGCTGTGTGAACCCTGCCTCAGCTTCAGGGTCACATAGACCTGGGTTCAAATCCCACCTCTGCCACTTCCCCAGTGCCTTATTCAGTTTCTCTGGGGTTCAGTTCTATCCCCTGCAAAGCAGAAAGAAAGCTGATGTGGGAGGGGAGCTCTGGTCAGCATGCGAGGCAGAGGGGGCCACGGGTGTGGTGGCTTTACTGCAACCACAACCAAGACCCCCTGCAGACACACAGAGAGCTGACCTCAGCCAGCAATTGATGAGAGGACCTCAACTAACCCGAAATGCAGGTCCTGGGCAGTTAAGACCACGCCCAGGTACAGGGCTGGTAAGTGCAGGTCTGGCATTGCAGCTCAAGTTAGTGTTCATGTTGCAGCTCTACCTTCAGAGGAGGGGCTGGGAGCTGCTGGGAGGTTCCAGGCATCCAGCGAGAAGTTTCCCCAAGACCCACCCAGGGCACAACTCCACCCTGGGGCTTGGGGTTGAAATGGCAGCCAAAGGGGGCAGCGGCAGAGAGCAGGAAGTGGACCCCACCTATACCCAGGGAAAAGTCCTCCACCTGCAGGAAGTAGGAAATCCCACTTGAGCAGTGGTCCCAGCCCACAATTCCACGTTCCCATCTAGTACGCACACAGCTAGTGTGTCTTTCTCAGCATCCCTGCAGCTTCCACACCTCTCTGGAGAAGATGGGTGTGGTAGTGCACGCCTGTAATCCCAGCACTTGGGAGACTGAGGCAGTGGATCACTGTGAGTTCAAGGCCAGCCTGGGCTACATTGTCAGACCTTGTCTTAAAAAAAAAAAAAAATGACTGAGCAAAAAGTTTTCATAGGGGCTGGGGATATAGCTCAGTGGCACAGCACCTGCCTGGCAAGCACAAGGTCATGAGTTCAATTGCCGGTACCAAAATAAAAAATAAATAAAAAATTCATAAGGGCTGGAGAATTGTGAAGAAAACACCCCACTGTGGTTCAGCTTCCTATTGCAGAATGGGGTGGTCAGGAGGTGGGCACAGATTTCAGAACCCTTGCCCAAGTGGCCTGTGCCAAGTCCGGATGGAGAAGGCTGCAGTGGCCACACAGGCCCCATGGGGACACACACCTGAAGTTCCTAAACCAGCACTGTGGACACAGTTGCACCATGACCCGAGGCACAGAGACCTGCTTGCATCTAAGAGTTCCACCAGCTGACCCTGGCCCCACCCAGATGCATGTAGGTGCGCTGCCCAGCCTGTGGTGTCTCCCTGTAAGGGCTAGGATGTCCCTGGCACCACATTTGCCAGTCCCCGCAGGTGTGCATGGAGGGCCCTCCCTAGCAATGGCCTGAACTTGGGGCTTTGTCCTAGGCAGGGCAGGGATAAACCCTCTTCTGTTCCCTTTCTAGTCACAGACACTGGTACAAGAGGGCCCCTTGCCAGAAAATTAAGACGCTGAGCCAGGAAACCACAGTTTCCATTCTGTAGGGCTTGGGGCTGCTGGAGCCTCCCAGAACAGCAGCAACACCTTGGCTTTGGGGGGTTCTCTGGCAAAGAAACCACTGCAGTCAGGGAGGGGGCTTGATTCCACGCATGGCTCTCACATGGCTCTGACCCCTGCTTGTCTGCAGATCTAGACATTGGAGCCTTTCCGGGGGAGAAAGTATCCAGTGCTCTGGAGTCCTTGGATGGCCCAGGACCCTCTCGAGAGCGGACCTCCTTTGCTGCCCTGACGGGGCAGGTCCCCACCCCTTTCTGGTTTTTGTTTGCGACAAGGTCCAGCTATGCAGTTCAGGTTGGTTCTGAACTCACTATGTAGTCCAGGGAGGCTACACTGCGGTCCTCCCAAGACTGAGACCATGAGCGTCTCCTGCCCTCTTTTCTGGCCCTCTCCCCTGGCCCTCCTGTTTGGTGGCTTTGTTTGCACTTCCTGGACACACCTGGTACTCGTGAGCAGGACTGTGGTCACCTGGCACCGCCACCCAGCTGCGGAATTTGGGGCAGAGGGCTCAACAGTGTCAGTCTGAGCAGATAACACCAGGGGGCGCCCATTTCAGCCCCACCTGCACAGATGAACGTTGCCCTCGCTCCACATCCTCACCAACACTGTCTGTGTGTGTGCGTAGTATTTGATTCAACATTTTCTTTATTGGGCAGGGTGGGCATGATGGCACCATCCTGGAGTCCCAGCACGGGAGGCTGAGGCAGCAGGGCTGCTGCTGCAAGTCTGAGGCCAGCCCATGCTGTAGAGTGAGTTCAAGCCCAGCCTGGATGAAAATGCAAGACCCCCATCTCAGATAAAGCAAAACATTTCTTTACGGGAATTCAGACCCGTCATGGACTCCATGCAGCACTGTTATAGACCGGTGTACGCTCCACAGTCTGAAAATGGCTTTTCAGGGTGATTCCATTTGCTTCC